CAGCATGAGACATTTTTTTTCTCTATCAAGAACACAAAAGGAAAAGTAAAAAAATAATAAGGAAAGAGAACACATATATATATACGCGTTACATTCTAGACAGTTATTTCCTTTTTCAACCCAATAAAATTATGGAAACATACAACATTGAATATGTATTATTAAAATAAAGATTAACTTATTTATAGGTTTTATTTTAAATGCCAACAACTGTCTGTCAAAGGCGTCCTTTTATCCGTTAATGTACTTTTTCGAGACATTAGCAGCATGCAATATGAGAGAATAAAATCTAATTGCATCTGATATACTAAGCATACACGCAACCGAGATAAGCGAGCATACCGAGTCAAAAATAATCAAAAAATACAATAGTTTCTTCAGTATACAATCATTACATCAAGCTAGGGAACATAATTTTACTGGACAATATTTGTATAAAGCCAAAGAAACAGTTGGGGAGAAGGGTTATTTTGTTGATTATTTTTAACAATGTATATGAGAAAATGGGGATATATATAACACCCAAATAACGGTTATGGAAAGTGTCGCGTGAATCAGTTCATTCTATGTATTTTTCAAAAGAAAAATGTTCCATTTTTGGAAAGTTGCAACTTATGATGAATATTCTAGATAGATTATTGGTTAACAAAATTTATTTGTTAAAGGAAAATTCGAAATTTGGTTATAACACGAAATTTTTTGACCCAAACAGTCTTGTAAATACAAAAAAAAAAGTGTCTAACAAAACTAATAATATATATGGATTATCGATTTTGAATCATTCAGATCGGCCCAAATCATTAGACACATCTGTATCCAGCCCATATAACCTCTCTGTAATCCTGAAATTTCAATAACAAAACCATTTAGATCTAAATATACATTTTTTTTTTTTCATAAGTCAATTTAAACAACACATCGAAATATACTTACCTATTGCGCAAGGTCAAAACCTCATTAATAGGTGAATCAGTGATAAAACGGGACACACCATCATCATCATGATCCTTGATAGACACATTCTCTAAAACATATATATTGGAATATTGTTATGTTATATACAACGATTTTATAAATAACATATTGATGTATCATCAGAGAACATACCCCCGTCAATTGCTACACACCAATCGGTTAACACACATATAGCAAAGGGACCTTCGTATTCTCTACACTTATCTCTTATTTCAGTTGCCAACTCACCATGTGCAACACACTCTAGCATGTACTCCCTATATTTTGACAAAGAATGTAGTTAATAATTAATTAGCTAAACTTCAAAAACTTACAGTTTGGGATATACTTACTCATCATCTATTATATTAAATCGAATTGATGATGTAGTCGTCCCATCCGGGTATGTAATAGTAAAATATCTAGCATCTTCAACGACTCCAATCAAATCTGCGATTGTAATTAGTCAAAATTAAGACATTAGTGCGAACTATATATTTTGCATTATAAGAAGATACCAAAATAATCTTACCAATTAGATAATAATGAGCATCTGGGAATTCATAAATCGAGAGGAATGATGCAAAATTATAGAACGAATTATTTGTTAATGGTAAAGCTGGTGATATCGTTGTTCCCCATGTCAGTGTAATAACGTAATCGTGTTTTGTAATACTTTGGATATTAGTCCAGTTGTAAGGATTTAAAAGAAATCCAGTCAACATAAACCATTGATCTTCATCGCATATTTGATTGAAATGATCCATCATCTGATTGTTTACCCGAGCCTGTATTCTACAACCCTAGAATTTTATACGATAACATTAGATCAACAAAAGAACAAATTATTGTATGTTAAAACAATAAGCAAAATCAATAATAATTATCACAAATAACATGTTAAGTTAATAAAATTTACTTTTTCATCGACCAGAATGAAATTTAGACTTCGATTATCGTCCGAGTAATCCACCACCCATTTTTTGAGTATTTTCACTATAATTCTCCAGTCAGATCTTTGAGAGTCCAATTGACGAACAAAATCATAATCCGCCATTGCGTGATGCCTATCGTTTAAGGTTATGCAATTTAGAGTATATTTATAAGAAAAAATGTGATTTTATATTAATATATAACCAAAAATTAAGAATATTAACATTTCAGGATAAATATAGATAAAGAAACAATATTATCTTCGAGTAAAATAAATAGATATATATATATTTAGATTTTTCTATTTTAAATTATGTTAATATTCTAATTCTCATTGTTAACAATTGTTAAGATAGTTTACTATAAAACCATCTATATATGTTAAATGACAATTTATTGCAATGAAAATTTACATTAGCTAAATCATAATCATGCACATCGTTTCATATCATTAGCTAAATCATAATCATGCACATCGTTTCATATCTTCACCCAAGTCTGAAATTAATATTTAAGCATATATGTAAACAATATAGTATCACAAAAAACTATATTAAGGGAGTAGGGTTAATGTCAAAATAATTATTTTTGCCCGATGTGGTTTTGTCTGAATTATCTTTCTTTCTTATAAATTTATTTTCGTTTGAATTATTTTAAAAGAAAAAATTTGAACAGTTACCATTTAAAGCCACTTTACTGTCAAAACCAACAACAATCCACTAATTTATGTCAAGGCACTTCCATATTGATATTGACCGATTTGTTCGTTTCACGTGCCTGTTAAGAGAATATATTCCATGTTTTAAGTTTTACCAAATATACACGCAATCTCAATAAGTAAATATACTATTTTACTAAATATAAACTTTTGCTAAATTGCAACACTTTCCATAAAATAATATGATCTCTCTCTATGGCTTATGTTATTTGGACAATTTTATGTTTCAATATTTTAGGAGATGACATATTCATACAACATCATAACAAAAAATGCCATTTATGTAGACTTTTACGTTATAACTTTATATATCTACTTGAGCATTTTTCCTTAAAATTATATGAAATAGGAAACCTGGAAAGTCAAACAGTTAGTTGCAAACATAAAGTCGCATAATCTTCCCCATAAAAAAAATTGAAAAACGTGAAAATTGATTATTATTGCACACCTTATAAATACTGACTTGATGGTTTCTTTTCAAAAAACTTTAAAATATTTTTCAAGTATCATTATCGTTTCTGAGAGAATTCATAAGAAGATGGCAAACACAAACGAAAAAAAATTCGATGAAAATGGCTTGTTGATCATCAATCCCCCACCATTGGTAATGAGATTTGGTGTCGTGGAACCAAACTCACCACCTTCACCAACAGATCCCGAGATAGAGCAAGAAGAATTATGGGAACAAATTCACTTATTCACCGCATCAAACCAGAAAGCCAAACAGAACACTCCTCAGGTAATACATCCTATTTACTAAAGTTTGTTTTAATCATGTCTTACACAATGAATAATAAAATCTGTATATTCTAATTATGGAGGATGACAAAGGCAACACATCTAATGAGACACCCCAATCAATTTGCACAAAACGAAAACACGACCTGATTCTAGATCTGGAGATAGGGTTAAAGTGCATGCGTTGCGGTTTTGTGGAGACAGAAATTCGACACATGGATACCGCCGAATGGGTACGTGATCAGAAATATATTTAGATCTAAATTATGAAAAATTATCTAAAATCTATGTTATTGAGTCATTATAGTTTGTTATTGATTGCCCATTGAACTCTATATTGTAGAAACAATCCATGTTTAAATATAATATTGAGTTAGTTCAAAGCTATATAGTTTTACAAAAATCTAAATCGGATTGTTTGTGTCTGTGTTTAAAGGGAAAGGAGAAGGAACGAAAAAAGAGGAGATCTGGAGTTTAATCAAGAACAATATCAGTTTCAAACCAAATTCATGTTTTTTTTTTCTGTTTGTAATGATCACTTTAAAGACACTATTATGTACTTGGTTTTATTTTCTAAAAACTATTAAGTTTATTTCGATGACATGATAATTTGGTTTTGAAGCATTCTCGATGAAATGTTAATAGATGCCCAATAATATGCTACAATTAAACTTTGGTTAAAATATGTTATCGAATAGAGTTTGTCACTGGATTATCCGACTATAGTTAGAAATCAGAGATCAAACCATTAATACATGAGATCCAATTTAGTGAAAAATCGAAAAACGTTAAATCTATTAAAAACTATAAAACCGAATGTAATGGTCTTATACAATAAAAAGAACTAACATATTTCGAGATACATAGAGACAACATATCACAAAACAAAACACAGTAAAAAGAAATATCATATCTTGTCAAAAACCTCCTTGTAGACGACATTCAATGTTTTGTTTTGTGGTTTGTTGTCTTTATCGGTGATCAATATCTTCAGACCTTCTCTTGATGTAACCCTCGATACAGCGACATAGAGTTGCCCATGAGTAAAAACCGGTCTTGGAAGATACAAACCAACCTTTTCGAGTGTCTGTCCTTGGCTTTTGTTTATAGTCATTGCAAAAGCTAATGTGATAGGAAACTACTTGCGTCTCATCCTGAAAGGAAGTTTCATCTCCGAAGGAGAGAGGAATATCCTAGGAATCAGTACCTTTTCACCAACCTTGCTACCTGTTATTATCTGAGCCTGGAGAACATAATTAGCCATCTTAATAATGATGAGTCTTGTGCCATTACACAACCCATTCTTAGGGTCGATATTTCTTAGAAGCATTACAGGAGTACCCTCTTTCAACTTCAGGACATGATTAGGGAAACCAGACATCTTGATACTATTTAAAAACTCCTCGGTATAAATCATGTTGTTGGAATCACCTTTATTCTTACTGGCTACACTCTCTGAGGGTACTTCAGATGCATCATTGTAATTGACAACTTCTTCAGTCGTATCAATGCTATCACAGCTAAGATAGGTCCTTTCAACACCTGTTATATACAAAACAACCGTCGTATTATATAAATATAAACAAATAAACTAAGAGGAATTAAAACAAAATAAACATACCCGATAACTTTGAAAGCATATAATCATTTATCGTATCTACATCATCGTTATGGCACGGTCTTGGAAAAATTTAGGATCAGTCTTTTTCGAAAACGAACTCCCATAAACTTCTTTGACGATCGTTTTCATAGGATCTTTACAGTCTTTAATCAACAGATCATCAGGAATTTCAATCACGGCTTCACCACTACCATCGTCATTTATCGTACCATCACCAATGTCTAAGATCCACTTTGTAAAGGCAGCTCGTTCAAGCATCGCACGGCTATTATCTCCAGATATAAGTCGCATGTTCTGTGTAAGTCTCAACACTCTACATTTGTGCCACAGAGGTGACGAATTCAAAGTGGCCATAAGTATCTCTGTCTTCCCGGCATTTGGAATCACTGGCAATATTTGCCTAAAATCCCCTCCTAAAACAATGACCTTATCACCAAAGGGCTTATCAACTTCTAATATATCACGCATCGTTCTATCTAGAGTCTCGAAACAGTCTTTACTCATCATCAACGCCTCGTCCCATATAATGAGTTTAGCAATCCTTATCAGGTCGGCAAGATTCGACTCCTTCTTGATTGAACAGAAGGTAAACTTATTAACCACAATAGGGATTGCAAATCTTGAATGCGCAGTTCGGCCTCCTTCTAATAACAACGCAGCAATCCCGCTCGATGCAACCTTGAGAACAACATCACCTTGGGAACGTAGAGCAGATCCTAATAGACTCCACAAATACGTTTTACCAGTACCTCCAGAACCATAAAAAAAGAACATACCTCCTTTGTTCTTATTTACTGCTTCTAGTATCTCATCATAAACACTTCTCTGTTCACTTGTTACAGTGGCTAATATCTGCTCGTTTCTTACTCTAAGAGTTTCACGATTGTAATTCCTCTCATCCCGAATAAGAGGATTATCACGTGACTCCAGAGTAATATCTTCAGAAAACGGCATAGGTGTGAATTCTTTTAAGGATCTCCCACTTACACGTAAAAGAAGTTCTATTTTGACCAGAGTAAAGTCTTTAACTTGCTCCTGAGATAGACTAACAGCTACACAATTTCAAAAAAATTACAAAAGATAAATTAGCTATCAATATCTTAAAGATATATAATAACAACAGCGCAAACAATAACTATACGACTTACTTTGATCCCTGGCAGCTTTTCTGTAATTATATATGATGTCATCTGATAATACCTGCCACGTAGCATCCCAAACTCTAGAAGGAATGGATATACTTTGAGTAGTGAGCAGAATCACAAAAAGACGACGGAGATAATTGGCATAAAGCCACAAGCCGCCCTCATTGATGGCCTCAATATATTCTTTGTCATCATTCAATAATCCATACGCATAGCAAGCGTCTTTGAACGAAGAATGTAGAACTTTGTTGACCGTTTTTATATCATCAAAACTACGTGGTCCTTTGACCAAATTAAGCAGAAGCCTTAAATAATACGCTTCACCTGCCCCAATGGGTACGTACGTGATTCTACCAAGAGCAACTCTCCTTGATCGTGGCGTCCATATTCTCTTTGTGTTATTCCACACAAATCTCGTAGGGAATTGCGCATAAGTTAACGTCCTCGCCAATTCATACATATCGTTGCACTCCATCCAAGCAATGAATTTTGACGTACCAACTGAGACACGATTAATAACCTCGTCACCTGGATCATCCTCGTTGTATATGACCATTTGCTGATTCGGTAAATGAAAGGGTAGTTTAATTACAGAAACCGTGCGATGGTGAGTAGGATTACGGAAAATTCTCCACGTAGACTCCGAAGGTGCTACATACCTACATAGAAAGACATTATTAAATAATGGAAGATTGGAATTTCAAAGATATAAAATATGTAAACAAAATGTTTAAAACATACCTACAATTGAAGTGTTTCTTAATCTCGTTTTCTTTATCATCATTCTTGACAGTTGCACGAATGTAGTCAGCACATTTATGAATATATTTGAATAGATACTTTACTGATCGAGATTGTACACACCATTCGACGTTGATATGAGCCCTATAAAGCAATGTGAGACTCCTATTATAAGGAACCAAAAATCCATTATCACATTCAATACCTTTTTTAACGATAACTTTCTTGTCATTACGTCGCATGTATATAGGATATCCAACATCATCTATTTTAGTGATCGGACTGTAAGGTTTTGGAAAATACTTTGTACATTTTCCTTCAGCCATGCAAACACTATCCTTATTCAAAGCACCACATGGACCATGCATCATAACATCTCCTACTATCTCATACAGCGCTGGATCAATATCCTTGTCAGGAATCTCAGCACATATTATCTTATCAATGTCATCACCAGTTGGTAGCTTGTGACCAGCTTCTAAAAAAAGAACGATGTGTGCATGAGGTAGCCCCCGTTTTTGAAACTCAATCGTGTAGATCGCTGCAACGAATAAATGGTAGTTTTTAAAAGATTAGTTAGCATGATCATCTAGCAATGTTATGGACATTATATTGATAAATGAAATAAGATACTTAGTTTAATAAAACATACCGGCTTTTACGACACCTAACACATTTTCTTTGGTGAGCCTGTGCATGAGATCATCTAGTTTCATCTTGAACACTCGCGTACATATATCTGGTCTATCTCTTGCTTCAAGTTATGTCTTTTTAGGTGCCTGGTAATCTCAGGCCATTTGGGATTACACGTAAAGGTTATGAAAAGATCCGGAAAACCAAAATGCTGGCAAGTAGTCATCGCATCTAGATAGTGTTGCACCATATACCTTGTACCACCAGTATAAGAAGAAGGTATAATAATACGTTTACCCTTGTCAGAAAGATCAGTGTCACCTCCATCAACAGTTTTCTTTATTTTATCATAATTTTCGCAACGAAGTTTAGACTGATTCATTGATATGAAACGTAGTCTATTAGTCTCAATCATCGTGAACGCATCCACTAAAAACTGCTGGAACAATCTTCCAGATAAAGGTATGATTGGTGACTCACCAACCCTCTCTTGTATGCGGTAAGCAAAAAACTCTCTCATAGTAATTTGCAACCTTTTCCTTCCTTGAGTATCTACAAAACCAATATCGATACCAAGTCTGAATCCGTCCTCACCATAGGGAAACAATAATGGATATTGCAAAGGCAGATACGCAGGATGTAGTTCACTGATCCTTTTGAGATTCCCAGTCTTTTTACACTCGATGATGATATCACGTGCATCTACCTCACCATTGAAATCATTAGGTATCAATGCAGCAACTTCATTAGTAGCTGGTAGATTTTCAGTCCTTCCATCGCTTTTCCTGTCACACTTTAAAATTATCCTTAACCGGCTTGTATCATCGTTAGGATCAAACCTTTCTCGAACGTTTCGTAATGCATCCACATGTTTGTTATGCTTATCTAGCATATTTTTTATTTTCTCAACAACCCTCACTCGCAATTTATCAGCCGGTCCCGTTTTCCTGTAAAATTTTTAAAAAAAATTCTTATAAGAGTTAGAACCATATAACATAAAATAACAATACATATATGTTTTGAAATTGATCTCAATGATTAAATTTAATATAAACCAAAAGAATAATAATCATACCCACAAGCAGCTATTCGGTTAGATGTTTCATTTGCGGTATCATATATATATAGCTGTAAAAAAGCTGGTTCTTTTCCAGGAGGTGGTAGCAACTCCCCTATAGAATGGTAGTTCTCCCCACTCATTTGGAAAATGTAAGGACCTTTCACGTCGTTAATTTCTTTATTTATTTTTGCTCCAAGAGAAGTGAAAGAAAACATCATATTATACGCCCGGATAAACTCACGAAAGTGATCACGCAAATCACCATCATTATACATCAATGCTAATAAGGATTTCGGAGGGGTTTTAAGAAGTGGAAGAACGACTTTACCCTGACCACAACACATGGAGAATATAGGCTTCCCACGACGATATCGTTTACCCAACCTCTCTCCATACCACATATAAGCCTTACAATTACCACATATATATATAGGATCACCATCGTCGTAATAACCTAATTAAAATAATATTCATTGCTTAATGTTAATTACACAGTAGTTATATATTATGTATTGAATGAAATATATTAGTACAATGAAAACCATAACCTCCATCTTTCAGACCAGGACTAACTGATTCCAATAAATCTGTTCTAGTAACAACGGTCTCGGTTGCACCCCCATCACAAAATTCAGAGGTTTTAGCACGTTTTTTGGGTCTTGCTTTCTTTTTATTACCAGGCCTCGATTTTTCCACATCCTCACTTTCCGACATAAAGTCTTCATCATTATCCATATCGGACTCAGAATCAGTAGCAACAAAGCAAGCAAACTCTTCGGTGTTGATAGAAGTAGCCAAAAGATCTGTTCGTTTTTTTTACCGAAAAAATAATAAATGAAAATCAGGCATATAATTATTAATAAACATTGTAATTACGAAAAAGAAGATCAAACCAATAGCTTCTTTTCTTTTTCTCCTCTCACGCATGATATGCATTCGTCTCTGCTGTGCATTACGAATTCTCGAGGGTGTTAGATCAGGAACTTCATTGATATTGTAACCGAACAAACCTCCATTTTGGTCTATATCGGTTACACTGGTAGGAGCATATTGTGGGTTCTTAGCATTACCACCTACAAATTACAATTAATAGTAAGCAACTTTATAACACGTAAATGTCTTAAAAATGTAATTTACTTAAAAAACACCTTTATTTGGAGCAATCGACGAAGATGAACCTTTTTTCTGAGGACGCCCAAACTTACGTTTCATTTTTTCTGGTGAACAGCATGAACAAAAAAAAAATAATAATGTGTGATCAAAATACACAATCATTAACAAACTATATATATGAAATATTATATTGCGCGATAATGCAAAATATACATTTTAGCTTCTCATAATAAATTAAGATTTTGGTAATAAAAAGGATTTCGAAATAGAAAACCGCACGATAATGTTAACATTACTTATTCTTCGCGATAATATGCCTATCTTCTCTAATATCAAAAATTTACATTTTTCGTGATAATGTTAAAATAATATTGAAATACTTCTACATTACAATAACGCGGATCTATAAATAATTATTTATTATTCCAAAAATGCAGAGTTAATCCTAAAAATATATCTCTACATTACAACAAATATATTAGAAATTGAATATTCTCCCAAAAATATGGTTATTTAACATATCATCCAATAAATTATATCACATATTTTTTTTTTTCGAGTGGACAATTATACTACAATTCGTTACGCAGGCGTTTTGGGGATAACTATGAACATCGAAATCCATACATGAAAATAATAATTAAAAAATCTTATTTTCATACACTGCGTCAAAAGTCAAGTTGTATTCAAATCACATACGATGTTTAACACAAACCACAAAACCTAAAAATAAAAATTGATATAAAATAATTCCTAAAACATTAGCACGGAACTCGTAACATCAGGGTTTAACGACTGGAGATCAACTCTCGAAATTGATAGACCTCGAAGCATGGCGAATTTAGAATAACTTGTGTGCAATCATACGACGTTGTTGCCAAGAAACATCCTGTATTATCGAAGAAACGAAAAATCAAATCATATTTATCGCATATACTTTACAACCATCTCATATAAAAAAAAAATATACCTCGTCGAACAATTATCTTCGCAAAACGAATGATGCAAATAATGACATCTTGTTTACATCCACCCAACTCACGAAGAAAAGTTTCAGCATAATCACCTTTCCAAAAACATGATAAACGTCGGTTCCTAAAGTTTCCCATCAAACAATTAACAGTCTGAGTTAAACTTAAAAATTTTGTTTTTAAAATTCTATTAACATAAAATAGATTACCTTTTCGTTTTCGAGATCAAATCTTATTATAAGCTGTCTAGAGTATCCTAAGGATCCAATTCTATCGTGAGAGTTTCCAACGTTGACAACCTTACCGATTAGATCTGTTTTTTTTTTAAAATGAATATCAAATAATCAATATAGCAACTGCATGAGAAATCGGTAATGAAAAATACACAGAATACTCACCCACACAGTAGTTAAAATCAATAGTCTCATTCATAACATCTTCGAAAACAACGAACGAAAAATAACCATTGATATCTAAAGTATAAGAGCTTGCACATGTTGTATCACTGGTAAGTTGAATCATATAAAGATGTGTACTTGGCTTAAATTCACCAGTAAGAGGCAATAGATTAAAATTTATTAGAAGAACCCAATCACCCTCGTTACATATCCTCGAATACTTATCATAAAATTCAATCGGTGCAGTTACATAAATCTTCTGTCCCTGAGAAGTATGGAATAAAACATTCAGACATTTATCATTACAAAAACTAAAATATAATAATGAAATTGATGTGTTATACCTTCCAGTCCCCCATTATAATGTCTAACGTGCGGTCACATTCAGGAAATCTTTTAAATTTACGTAAGACTTTCAACTTAGTCTTCCATATACGTTTGGTAGGATCGAGTTCGGAAATTCCAAACAGATTTTGATCATATTTTTTATACACGGCGGTGATAGATAGTAAATAAGCCATTTAGATTAAACGCAAACCCAAAGCCTCAAAACAACTACAACGATTACGTCCAAAGATAACTTAAATAAACATAGCAGAGACAATACTTAAACCAAACATTTGTTTCCTATTTATATAATTTAAAATAAAAGGATATATCGAATATTTTACATTTTTGAGATACCTTAGTGCTTATTTTACATTTTTAGGATAACATAGGACCTTGATAGAAAATTTATCACGATCACAGGGATACCGTTTCCGATTTGTATTAGGGATCTATTATAATATACTATTATAATTATAACAATTTTCCAATTGATATTAGGAATATATCGTTATATATAAAAACGACGTATTAGCATTACCGAGTTATATATGACGACTACCTTTTAGGTTTTATAGGCATTACATCATGTCGATCGCTGCTTGTCTTTTAGCAATGAAAAATATGACTTACACCAATGTCTCTGATATAACTCCATCAATTCAACTACGCCGTATTCGTGTGAAAATACTGCGTATGTTCGAGCACATCGGTGAACCTGATAACACTTTAGATTTGGTGTTGGTTGATAAAAAGGTATTCCGGTGACTTTATATTTTTCGTGCATATCACGTCTCTGATATACATATTTTTATTTTTTTAGGGTGATAAAATACATGGATCAATATCAAAAGGGTTTATAGACAGTTTTACATCAGAAGTAAAGCAAGGAGATTCAATTATTCTGTACCGTTTTGGTGTAGTCCCTGTCATCGGAGACTTGAGGCCGACGTTGCATAATTATAAAATAATATGGAATTCTCAAACTTATTTTTCAAAGATCCCTTTCTATGATAACAACAACTACCTAAGTATCGTTGAATTTGGTAACATACACAACAATCTCCGAGACCCATTGTTTTTCGTTGGTATGACTTTAGATAAATTAATAAATAATAACAAAAAATATATGCTATTTTATATCTATAAACTTTCTCAATGACTAACTAATCTTTTTATTAGATATAATTGGACACGTCGCGGTGATTGGAGCA